ATATATATATATATATATATATATATATATATATATATATATATATATGTTTCAAAAACAAAACATGATTTTACAATATTAATACGATTTTATGGTTTTATGGTTGATTATCAATCTTCACCTCCATTACTCACCTTTATCTCCAAAAGCCTCTCCACAGGCTGCCTACATATCGGACACCTGTTCGTCTGAAACCTCAAAACTTTTGCACATCCACTGCACATACACTGAAACCAAACAAATTACGTTAATACCCCTGTGTGTGTGTGGATAAAGAAAGATGGGGTAGAGAAAAATGGTGTACCATGTGGCGGCATGGAAGGACTGTAGTGTCCCGAGGTTCTGATAAACAGATGACACATTCTTTTCCGGGATCATTCCCATCGAAATCAGCACCATCAACGGAATTGCCGATTCCGTAGATCTCCTGTAATTCATATCTCATTCCATTCACCCACAGGATCTGTTTTGTGACCTTAATCTGATACTCACCTTTCTCCTTCTCAAACACTGCTTGAGTAATTTGGGAATTGGTAGTTCCAGGATTCGTAGAATTCCCGTTTTCAGATATAGATGGAATCGGATTTGCTTCTGCTTTAATTGCTAGAGGGTATACCCCTGTTTCGCTAACTTTTAGTAATTCTGCCTCTTCGAATAATGAAAGGTCAATTCCAGTCCCTGATTCCTGTCGGAATTTCTGGCCTAAACCTTGTTGGAAGGCCACTGTGATTGGTGGAAGAAGGTCTTCTTTTGTTGGACTCATGTTACAGTCTTCTCCCTCTTTTGCGAAGAAATAAAGGGTAATGCTGTGGGAAGACGAAATCAAAACCAAAACATAGAAAATAATAATATCGATATGCATAAATGGAAAGATGTTGACTTGATGAAAAATTTTCAATGTCTATGATTATATTAGTAAGAGTACAGACTTTACCTGCCAGCGACAGTGGCATCATACGTGAAAACAACAAGAAATTTTCCAGGGTTTTCTTGATCGGGCTCGATCTTCAATGTTTCTTTCTTGAGATTAACGTCGTTTCTTATGGTTACAGCTTTTTGATGATCGACATAAGGTGTAGGAGTGTTCATCACAGGCCCACAGGGATACCTCCCGCCGACCCACGCCTGCGCTGCAGGGTCCATAGGACCGCGGTGGTGGTGATCGTATGGTGGAGGCAAGGCTGCTGCGGGAGGCGGTGGTGGTGGGTAGTATGGTCCAGATGGGTATTGGTAATATGGAGGATGAGGTTGAGGAGTATTAGGGTTAGGGTTAGGGTATTGAGCAGGGTAAGGTGTGGCAGCGGCGAACACGTATCTATTAGCGTTGATCTCCGGCTGTGGCTGTTGCGGTGGTGGCGGTGTGGGGTGATTTTGATTGCTCCCCCTCCTGCTCCCACCACCGCCGTGTCTCCGCCGGCCGTTGGAGCTGTTACTTCCAACATTACCCATTATCAGACCAAAATTAAAATCTTGATCGCGGGGAAATTGAGGGTTTGAACGAAAATGAAAACGAGAACGTCGAGTAATGAGAGGGAGTACTGAGAAATCAAATTACGTCTGGGGCTCTGTTTTTCAACTGAATCAACAGAAGTGAATCAAGGTTGGAAGACCTAAAATAAAGTTATGAAGGAACCCTATATGAAGGGGAATTGGAATTGGGGATAGAAATCATGAGAGGGGGTTAGTATTGATACCTTTTGATGAAGAAAACATCGGTGGTGGTGATTGGTGAAAGGTGAATGTGTGTGTGCGATAAGGGGGATGAAAGGTGGGTGGGGGTGGTCACGTAAAGAAGCTCCACTCTGAAACGGAACAAGAACTATACCATTATTCTCCTAACCATGTCTTTCAGTGTATCTAATCTTTTTTAATAATTTGATAATTCCCGATTTTTTTATTTGAGATAATTACAAAAAAATAATAATAATAATAACTAAAAAATTAGAAACGTGACTTTATTTATTTATAAAATTGAGCCGTCTGTCTAGAGATGTTAGTGTATTTTTTTTACAGAACAAAAAAATATTTTGGATTTTAGACTAAACAAGTCGGATATAAATATATATATTTTTTGAAATTTCAAGAATATTAAGTCTGAATTTTTGAGAAAAATGTTTCGTTTTTTATTGATATTATAAGCAAAAAAGATAAACAAATATAATTGAAAAACAGTGAAACTGAATATTTTAGATTAAGAACCAAATGAATATGTGGAAAGTATTTACATAAATTTAAAAAATGCACATCATAATCACAAAAACTTAATTTTAAAGTGTTTATGTAAATATTTTTCAAAAATTATTTTTTCCCTTTAATCCAAATGTTTAGTTTCACTCTTTGTCAACAAAATGACACTGTTTGTTTACATGAAGGAAATCTCCTGGAAAATTTTAATGTAAAAGTCTCAAAATTTATTTTGTTAACAAAAAAGAAATGATTATCGGATAAAAAAAATTCAAATCAGTCTTTTTTTACTGGTAAACTATTTTTTACCTAATTATCTTCAGAAAAACCCCATTATTTGGCACAGTTTATGAAAAAATCCTAAATTTTTTATTTTAACTCTTTTACATTTTCACTAAAAAAATGGATAGTTCTTGGAATTATGAATAAGAATAAACGTCATTAAGATCCATAAAACTAAGGATTAAAGACTTCTATAATCAGTTATTTGCCACAAAACAATAATTCTTATCATCATTTTGAACTTATCATTGTCCTTATAATCCATTTTCCATAAAAATTATGTTGCAAGTATTATAAGATATTCAAATTATATGTTGAACACCTTAGTACAATTTACCTAAAAGTAGGTTAAAGGAAAACCAACTGCTATGTTAATATAAGAAATCATTGACATATGACAAACCAGTCAATACAATAGTAGGTTAGGTAGGGTTATACGGATTCTATAGAAAAATATGAGATTTATCCTTAAATCTTAAACCTATATGAACAATTTCTTCATGAAGCAATTACTTTATGAACATAAAGTAATTGGTCAATGGAGGAGTTTTTATGTCCATGTAGTAATTGATCCATAGAGGAATTGTTCATATATGCTTAAGACTTAAGGATAAAACTCATATTTTTCTTTATAATCCGTACAGTCTCGTCTAACATACTATTGTATTAATTAGTTTGTCATCAGTCAATGATTTCTTATATGAACATAACAATTGTTTTCCTTTAACCTACTTTTAGTATATATATATATGGGCGTTACGGATGAAAAACACATAAGCCCTTTAGCTTAACTGGTAAGTTTGTGTTGTTAAAGGAGGGGAGACGTGCCACGTAGGCAGATGACTGGCTGAATATGTAAAAAAGGACTAAAGTGAATAAATTTCCCGGTTTTCTGGTCTTTTTTATTTAAAAAAATATGATTTTTTTGAAACTTTTCTCAAAATATTAGGACTTTACTATAGATATCTCGTATTATGAGCATACAACTATTAAATTATTCACCTATCTGGGTAATTCTTTTATTGGGAAAATGACGTATAGGCCCTATAATGTTTTTAGGGTTTACCCATTTAGCCACTTAATTTATTTTGTGGTTTAATAAGGGAACGAAGTATCTGTTACCTATCAATATAATCCCTTTCACCTATTGTAGCCGGTATACGTTGCCACATAAACCTAGCCTAACACGTAAGCGATGACATGGCAAGAATTTAAAGCGTCGAACTACCGCAACGACGTCGTAGTGAAGGCGAATCGTAAGGAGCAAGGATCGACTGTTCAAGCGCCTCCATATAAAATCAAGACTTCCTTGACCTAAAATGGCACATCTGCAAACTTCATTACCCCAATTTCGTCTCTAAGTTTACTCCAAAATGCCTTCGATCGCACATGCAGAACACAGCTGGTCTCCAAACTACCGCCGTCACATGGATGAGAATCATTCGAATGGTGTAACCAACGAAGACATGGCCATCAATCTACTGCAAACCCAGCTGGAACTGTCTCTTATACGGGAGGACTTCCAAGACCAGTTGCGTGAGCTCCGTCAGACAGTTAATCGAGACTTGGATGTCATGAACCGTGAGGTCGATGACGTTCGCGTTGGTCAGTTGGATATCTCAAATATCGTTGTTGATCTTAAAAATCATTTCGTTTCTCTGCAAGGAGCATATGTGAAGATGGTCTTCCAGCACAACAAACGTAAGAAGCTGAAGTATTGTATTGGGATTGTTGGTGTTGTTACTGTGTCTGTGGTGACGTATATGTTCTTTAACTAAAAAAAGTTGTGTATGTTGAAGCATTTCAGTCCTGGGTTTGTGTTTTGGTGTGTTATTTATGTTGTTTAGTGTGTTACTGGTATTAGTTTGTGATGTTGGTGTGTAGATTTGGTGGTGGTGTTGCGTGGGCTGTTGATGGTCATCGTTTTTTGATGAAGTTTTTTGTCGATGATCTGTAATAGGTTATTCAATAACAGAAAGTGATGTAAACAAACCCATGACTGAAATGTGTTTTAATATGTTATTATTAAAAAAAATTGTCTTACACCTGTATTTGTATGTGTGCATGAAAGAAAGAAACATTTGGGGATTATATATGTATCAATAATTTGTTCTCAAGCCAATCATGTGGATGTCCATCGACTGGGACGGGACCACAAGCCAAAGCAAAATGAATATACCTTTTTAATGCACATAGACAGGGACCACAAATGGTGCAGTTTGGGAAAAGGGACAAAACTAAACAATACCTTTGCACACGATGCATTGTGTCTGCTTGTCTGCAAACCTTTTTTGGAAAAAAAAAATAGGGAACTTTTCTAAAGATGGACTTTTTCATGTTGAATGGATTAAGTCACAAGTACTCTGTTTTTGACAATGACTTAATTACCCCCACACCCAAAATGGTCAATTTACAATGACTTAACTACCCCCACATCCAAAATGGTTAATTTACAATGACGTAATTACCCCCACACCCAAAATGGACAATTTACAATGACTTAATTACCCCCACATCCAAAATGGTCAATTTACAATGACTTAATTACCCCCACATCCAAATTGGTCAATTTACTTTGTAATGACTAAAATGCCCATAAAACCCCTACATATTCGTGGCACGGGACAACAATATACCACACAACAAAACAACATAGTTGACCATAAAAGAACATACATATATCATTTGTTTATTGCAACACACATTCACTACAAATAACAAACAATTATCTAATCCAACTCCATGGCCGTTGCAAGACTGCTACCTTCAGCTCCCACATTTTTTGCACGCTTCATTTTAATGATTATTTCTGACTTCTTTCGTTTGTTAGGCGGTTTAACATGCTTAACTTGATGAACACGAGCATTCACCTTCACCCCTTCCTCCCGTCCACTGACTCCCACCATCCGCTCTTCCTTACCAGTCCTCTCCAAAGCATCACTAGCATCTACCATTACCTCATCATCCCCAACCCCTGTGGAAACGTTTACAGACTCCTGCGTAGATATAGTTTTTTGTTTCTTTGTTCCATTTTGTTTGGATGTCCCTACACCTTTACTACAAGTAGCCTTGTTGTGTCCTTTCTCCTTACATATACTACAATAAACTTTCTTCCCTGCCTTGGAGACAGTGTGTTTTCCCATCCGTTCAGAAGCATCTCTTCTTCTCTTTATTGTTGGCCTGCCTGGCATACGTCTTTTCAATGGAGGCAAAGGGGGCATCAAGTCAGTAGAAGGCCACATATTTTTTCCATTCATCCCATGGATTAGCTGTTTGTAAGTATTATGGTATAATGCAGCCAAGTACATTGGATCTACATATGGACCATCAGGTGTGATATTTAAGTAGGCTAAGGTGGCAACTGAGTGTACGCAGCCATATCCATTAAGTTGTCATAGCCTGCAGCTGCATTCCTTTTTTTCAACATCAACAGTAAATGCCTCGTCCATTTTCCTTGCCTCAAACTTCATCCCCCCACAAGATATGAACTGCCAATGCCTACATATATAGATGAAAACCGCAAATATCATGAGATCTGAAGAGTAAGGTACTAATGTAATTGGATAAATGTACAAACCTTTGCTCAGTCTGGAGCATATTCAACCGTATTCTGATATTTGGACAAACAGAATAACGATTCCATCCTTGTCCAGTTAGTTTCATAGTCACCATCGTTTGCATCACATATATACGAATGTCCTCTAACATGCTTATTATTGGTTTCTTCCGGGCATCCAAAATCACACT